TCTGAGAGTTGAAGTCCACAAGTCTTAAAGTTGCCAAGGTTGGACACCCCTGGTTTAGGGCATCAGGGGGGCTTAATCGGGCCCGCCCTTCCTTCCCGCTACTTGGCTGAAATACAGACCCAGTTTCATAATACTGCTTTTTTAGCATTTCCCTTTTTTTAATTTGATCATTTTGTTAACATACAAAGCCTTGAGAGTTTTCAAAGTGAAAAGCTGAGAGGTTCACTAGCACCTGCTTCTGTTTGGTCTCCAGCTCAGTGCTTTTCAGCCTTAGCAACTTGAAGATGTGTAGACTTCAACTCCCAGAATTGAAGATTGGCATGCTCTCCCACATCCATTTTGCTTTTCTGTGTTCTGGCCTTCCTCCACCAAGGAGTTTGATGAAAAGATTTGAAGGAAGTCTTGCTGGTCCTCAAAAGTAGGATGATCAGCCATCTGAAGGGGCAAGAGGAAGTAGGTCCCACTTGCTCTATTCAGACTCATTTCTGGACCAGGTAGAATCTGTTTCCTAATAATGAATTACTTTGCCCACTATACCGGGGATTTAAAAAGCTGACTTTCTAAACACTTTTCACCTATGTTGTTTAAGCCAGAAGTATTTGATTAAAAAGGAAAAGGAAGCCTTTGACTGAAACTGCTCCAGCATCTGCATCATGGATAATTTTTGTGACACGGTTTACCGTGTTTCTATTTTCTCTTTATTATCTGCAATCAAATACTTTTTATTCTTCCAAAAGTCTAACTTTCCTTTTTGGCAAAGAGGTTATTGCTTTACTGCTGTTGAAAGAGTTGTTGTAAAGATTGCTGACCCCAAATGCACTATTCAACAAGCAATGCTAGTGTTTCAATACAGGTAATCCTTGACTTACAACAGTCCATTTAGTGGCCATTCAACATTACAGCGGCATTGAAAAAAGAAACTTATGACTGTTTTTCACACTTACGAATGTTGCCATCATGATATTCCTGGTAACTGGAAATAAGACTCTAAACGTTTTCATCCCTGGGTAGTATATGATATTTTGTTCTGTTTCTTCCCTCCCCCTCCTCCTTGATGAAGCATTACCAGGAATTCCTGAATTTTCTGAAAAAGAACTGGGGGTTCTGCAGTCTTTCTGTGCCAGCAAGATTAACCATCTCCATCACCAGAGGACCTCAGAGCCATTGAGAAGAAATAGCCGTAAGGAACAGAGGCCTGGGATGGTTTCACGGAGGCAGCCGATGGGAGGTGGCAACTTTGCTGTCCCTTCTGAGCTCGTAAACAGGCTTCATCTGAAAAGTCTCCAGGAGACGATGAAAAAGGTGCTGAGATCAGGATCTTTTTTCCTTCAAATGACTGGGAGGGTGGGGAAAAGCCAAGTGTTACTTACCATTATTCACAGACTGACAAGTATTCCTGAATTTACAACCATTTGTTTAATGACCAAAGTTAAAACAGCACTAACAAAGATGACTTATGACTGTTTTTCACACTTAAGATCATCACAACTTCTCCATGGTCACATGATCAAAATTCAGATCTTGGCAACTGGCGTGTATTTATGAGGTTGCTGTGTCCCATGATCACGTGATCACCTTTTGTAACCTTCTGACAAGCAAAGTCAACAAGGAGGTCAGGTTCACTTAATAAATGTTTTACCAACTGCAATGATTCACTTATCAACTATGGCAAGAATGGTCATAATATGAGGCAAAACTCACTTAACTGTCTTGGTTTTAACAGCATAAATTTTGGGCTTAATTGTGGTTGTATGTCAAGGATTACTTGTATAAAGGTTTGGCTGAACCTAGTAGATAGATAGATAGATAGATAGATAGATAGATAGATAGATAGACAGACAGACAGACAGACAGACAGACAGATATTGCAAAAATCAAATTAAAATTGAATGTTTATTGTACATGCATGTTTCATGTTATATGTATAACAAGTAAGCTCTTCTGTCAGTCAAGTTATTTTTGTTAATTGTGACATGATTTTGCATAGTACAGTTTTCATATGCAGTTAAGAATCTCTAAGTGTTTCTGTTGTTAGTTTTAGCTGAAACCATAATGAAGATTTGATGTATATTTTCACTTGCAGAAGGAAGACATCTACTAATGAGGAAGCAGAGGTTGAGAAAGGGCAATTGGCCTTGAAAAGAAAGTAAAAAATAGTCTCACCATAATTTTCTAAGTCCTGCTCTTTAACTAATTAACCCTGAGGGGAAATGCTTAGTTATAGATGATGGAATGTTCTTAGAAGGTGGTATATCTTCCTTCACAGTAGCTTCTTGTTCATAGTGACAGGATAGAATCAATGAAATGAGTAATATGCACCTCTACTCTTCTCTCAATCTGAAATAATGTAAGCACTACAGCTATAATGTGATGCTTTTCCAATGTCATCTGATACATGCTTATTCAGAAGTGAACCCTATTACATTTAATGAAGCTTTCTCCTGATAAATGCATCTAAGATGGCAACCTCAATAAAGCTTTCTGCCGGAGCTCTTTACATTATCTCTTTTTAAGAAGCTGAGTTTTAAAATACTTTTTGACAGAAGGAATGAATTGCAGTTTGATGATTCCAAAAGATATGGCTAAATAAATTTATAATACTGCTGCTAGAGAAGCCATTGCAAGAGAGAAATAAAGGCTATCTCCTGGGGAAAAATAATAGTTTCTTTATTTAGTTCATTTTGGAAGAAAGCTTATCTGGTTTTAAAGGCTGCCTTCATCGATACACTTTTGTTTTGAGATGTTAGTCATGCTCTTGTTTTTAAGGAAGACAGTGTGGTGAATGTAGTTTGGAGTCCCAGGAGAGAAGGCTGCCTCAGAGAGGGCAAAGAAGCAGCAGAGCTTGGGATGTCTGGTAGGCAGGAAGAAGGCAAACACAGCCCCGTCTCAGCAGTTCACAGAATCCATCTATAGTTATGCGGATAGCTGCTTTAGTCTGGCAAGATTCTGTCTATAGGCAAATGACAATAAAGAAACTAGTCAGAAGTAACTCAAGATATTTTTTGTTTTCGGTAACTGACAAATATTTTTAAAAATTCTGTCTCCCTTTGCCTTTAAGTTAGCTGAAAATGAAATGCACCAACCTTCACAATGCCCCTTTTGCACAAAGAAAAGAGCAGAGTTTGCAAAAGTTGAATTTCTCCGTCGAAAGAAAACCATATTGGACAATATTTTGCTTCAAGAGAAACTGGAAGACTATATGTACACCAAAGTAAGCAAAAAGCAGAATATATGTACCAAAAGTAGGTGTGTTGTGTTGTGTTGTGTTGTGCTGTGCTGTGTTGTGCTGTGCTGTGCTATGCCATGCCATGCTACATACTACATGAGCCATAGTAGTGCAGTAGTTAGAATGCAGTGTTGCAGGTTAATTCTGCTTACTGCCAACTGCCGACTGCCAACAATTTGGCAGTTCGACTTTCACCAACTCAAGTTGACTCAGCCTTCCATCCTTCAGAGGTTGGTAAAATGAGGGCCCAAATTGGGGGGGGGGGGGCAATAGGCTGACTCTGTAAACTGCTTAGAGAAGGCCGTAAAGCACTCTGAAGCAGTATATTGCTAAGTACTATTGCTATTGCTATCTGCATATCTCCAAATTGCTACTAATATGTTAAAAGGATTCGGAATTGGATTAGATGTACTGTAGAGATATGCTGCTTTGATTTGGATTAATTTTGAATCTGTTCATATCAGCCTCATTTCTTTCTGGATTCTGTTGAATCTAATTTGCTTGGCCTCTAGTCTTTCCTTGTATTCTTTCAACATTTCTATCTAAGAAAAAAAAATTGTCAATAGAATAATGTAATCTTGGAAAGCTCTCTCGGTAGCCATCCAAGCTGTGTCTAAATGTTTTCAGATGTTTTTCTGACAAAAAGAGTTCATGAAATTCGTGTATCTGATTTTTTTTAACCTTAGGAATTAAAGTTTGGAATCAAAAGGTCCATAATACAGGTAGTCCCCAATTAACAACAGTTCATTTAGTGACCTTTGAAGTTACAATGGCACTGAAAAAAGTGACTTATGGCCGTTTTTCACATTTATGACTGTTGCAACATCCCCATGGTCATGTGATTTACATTTAGATGCTTAACAGCTGACTCACATTTATAACAGCTGTAGTGTCCTGGAATCATGTGATCCCCTTTTGCAGTCTTCTGAAAAACAAAGTGAACAGGGAAGCCTGATTCACTTAACAACTGTGGCAAGAAAAGTGATAAAATGGGAAAACTCACTTAACAAATTTCATCATAAATTTGGGGCTCAATTGGGGTCGTAAGTTGAGGACTACTTGTATTTGCGTGAAATCAAGTCCGTAGCAATGAATGCAGTTATTTTGCAATGCAATTTTTCTTCTGACTAGTTGTCAGTTTTGTGTAATGGGTGATCCAATTGGTTAAGCCAATGTTTCTCAACCCTGGCAACTTTAAGATGGGTAGACTTCAACTCCCAGAATTCTCTAGCCAGCCAGGCTCTATGTCCATGTTCTGTATTCTATCTCATTATTCATGATCCTTTAATAACAATCAGAGCTAAATTCTTACGCATGCATTTATCAATGACTGGGAGTTTAATGGATTCTACCAACTTAAATTTTAGCACAATTTAATATTATTTGTATGTTGCCTTCATCTACAGTCTGAAGTCTTCTAATTTGTGATGCCTGTGTTTTTATATAAATATAAAACTAAACCATGTTAAAATTGCAATGGCTTGCTTCTATGTACGGTCTTTAAGCATCCAAAATATCTCAGCATTGTTAGCAACCCCAAATTTCTAGAGGCCTCCAGATTGTTGACTTTCAGTTCTTGTAACACATACACACCCCAAACTCGGAGTTGAAATCTAATACATTTGAGGAATTACTGTAGAGACACCTTCATTATTGTGATTGAGGGTTGAAGTTAGGAGCAGATAGCTTCCCCAGTGTCATTTTTTATTCTAATGTAAGTGGAATACAAGATAGACATGTCCTAAATAAAAACCACCTCCCTTTTTTTCTGTATCCTAGCAACTAGAAGAGTGATGTCACTGACTTTTACTCTGCCAACTAATTTGTTAACAATACCTTGTTTCTTCAAAAATAAGACTCTGTCTTATATATATTTTTTGCCACCAAAAAAAGCACCAGGTCTTATTTGCGGGGGAAGTCATCCATTGACTAACCTCACTTGTGCGCGATGCCCCTGGCCTCCTTTTCACTGTCAGAGGCCTTCAGGAACTTCTTCTTCTGTGGCTGGAAAGACTTTCCTGAAGGCTTCTGCAGTCAGTAACAGAGCTCCAGATCGATCCAGAGCTTTGTTACCAGCTACAGAGGCCTTCAGGAAAGCCTTGCCGGCTGCAGAAGAAATGGGCTGGTAAGGCAGGTGTCGGAGTGTGTGAGGCCTGGCTACAACTGTCTGAAGGTAAGTAGTAGGGCAGCTCCATGCACCCCCCCCCATAGCTTATTTTTTACCCATGCACTCTGGAGTTGTTGAGGGTCTTAATTAGGGCTTACTTTGGGGGTAGGGCTTATGTTGGGCACATGTGTAAAAATCAAGCTAGGACTTAACTTTCAGGGTCGGTCGTATTTTCAGGAAAACAGGGTAGTTGTTAGCCAGTTTTGTGTAGTGGTTAATGTGCTGGCCAAGAAACCAGGAGAATATGAATTCTAGTCTCATCTTAGGCATGAAAAGTGGCTGGTGACCTTGGACCAAGTACCAGGAGATCTAGTGCTGTCATAGGCATGAAAGCCAGCTAGGTGACTTTCAACCAATCACCGGGTGACCATGAGTTTTAGTCCCATAAAAGCTGACTGGTTGGTTTTGGGTCAATCATCAGAAGACTGAAAATTCCAGTCTCACCTTAGGCATGAATGCCAGCTGGATGACTCTGTCCAACTACTCTCAGCCAACTCACCTCACAGGACTGTTGTTGTGGGGAAAATAGGAGGAGGAAAGAGTATATGTTCTCCCACATGAGTTACTTATACAGGTAACAAAGGTGGTACAAATAGCAAATAAATAAACTAATGTATTAACAGTTGTAATGGCAAATAGTCTGAATTGGAAGTCTCTCACCGTATTTTTCTCTTCTTTTAGGATTCTCTCACACTCATTGGAGAAATACATAAAAATCTTCCTAAGCTTTCCGAAGATCCCAGCAATATATGGCAGGAACTGAATAAAAGAGGCTGGCAATAATAGCTTTTGCTTGTGGGGATATTGGAGCAAACAAAGTTAGAATCTCTACAGGCTGAGCAGTGACGGCATTAAGAATAATGACAATTTGGATTCCAGAGACAATGTTTACCCTTTGTCTCAGGAAGAGCAGAGCTGTATGTGATTATTGAACTAAATAATATATTTTCAATTAACATAAAATATTTTTTTACTGTGGGGATTTGTCATAAATATCAACCTTTTTTTGAGTAAGATTCTTTTTGGGATTTGGACACGAGCTTGCAAAGAAACTGCAGAAGTTGTAACATTGAATATATTTTTTCATCGTGCTGAAAACCTTGACAAATCTGAAGCGAAGTTAGGCCATCACTGTGATGATTCCAAAGAAGAAGCTGAAGTGTTGCTGCTTTAGAAATGGAAATATACGTATGGATATTGAAGCAGAGAAGAGAATAAAATACTTAATGCAACCCAACTGAAATGCCTGAGTGCTTCTGAAAGCTATGGACTTGGGGGAAGTAGATTATATGGTGATGATTGTCTGTTGCTGGGTACGATTGCTGAAAATTTGAAGGCTCAGATTTGTTCCAGTATGAGGAAAGAGATGAAAGCTGAACATTAAATAGGCATAGTTTAAGTTAACAAAACCAGACAGGCCTCTAAAAGTTCTGTGGTGAAACCCACCCATGTATGTGAAACATGACCCCATTCTTTCTACAGCCCTCATCCTTTCATCCAAACTTGTGTCCTTTGGCCACACAAAAGTGCTCAGCCTTTGGGTGACTGCAGTTACAGTGACCCTGTTTCTTGCCCTGCTTGGAACTTTTGGGAACTTCAATCTAGTAAGTTCTGGTCTTCAGAGTCCCAATTAAAATTATGAGCCTTTGAAGGTTCAAAGCTCCAATCCAATTCCAGTCATATTATGGCATGGGAGAAAAGGACCAGGGGCTTTCTGGAAGGATCTCCATTGATAAAGGACTGGGCAGTAGGTGATGGAATGATGAGACCCAGGAAGCTGATGATGACCAGAGGAAACCACGTTAAGTGAGATCAATGTGCAGAATTTAAGGGTTACCCTGGCCTAGGGGACTTCTGCTGCAATGCAATTTAATGCAAATTTATGATATGTATTAAACAGTGTCATATACTTGAGTACTTCACAATTATCTCCATGGAAAAATAAAATTTGATAGCATTTTTGCAAAGTCTTCACAGGTCAGTGAGACTTTTGTGGGAACCAAGGGTGGCCTTGGGTGCTCCAGTTGGGTTTTCCTTGGCTCGATCGAGAAATTACTTGAATCAGGATGAGGAAGTTCTGAAAGAGAAGTTCATAAAAGAACCACTGCTTACCCTATTTAGTGTTGGGTTGGTTGTCCCTGTAATACCCAACTGAAACCTGCTTTCTTTCAGCATGATACAGCTAGTCCTTGACTTAGGACCACAATTGAGCCCCAAATTTAAAGTTGCTAAGTAAGTCAGTTGTCAAATGTATTTTGCCCCATTTTACGACCTTTCTTGCCATAGCTGTTAAATGAATTACTGCAGTTGTTAAGTTAGTTACACGGTTGTTGAGAATTTGGCTTCCCCATTAACACTGCTTGTCAGGAGGTCACAAAAGGGGATCATATGACACTGGGACACGGCAACTGTCATAAATATTTGCTAAGTGTCTGGATTTTGATCCTGTGATCATGGGGATGCTGCCATGGTTGTAAGCATGAAAAATGGTCATAAGTCACTTTTGTAACTTTGAATAGACACTAAATGAACTGTTGTAAGTTGAGGACTACCTGTAATTTCTTTGAATTTCCTGGGAAATTCTGTGTATTATTGAAAGCTCTCAATGATATGATCCTTCCAAGAATAGCTGCCTATTCTTCCATTTATGGTCCTTCTCGGGAGAAGGCTAAACAAAGAACAGTGGGCATATTCTGGAGGGCAAAGACCCTGGGAACCCTCTGCCCCATGCATTTCCCGTGAGACGGTCATTTTCCAGGTCCACCAAAGAGGCTAACGAAACAACTCAGAAAGATCTCTCGCAAAAAAGGCATGAAAGTTCACAGCTTCTTTGATTTATTAAAGAATAAAGTTATATTGTTTTGTTCCTGCATAGAATCATCCGGATGACCCATAAATACATTTTTCAAAACCTCTCTAGCAATCAAACAGAGGCTCATAAGGCTCTTCCATGATTTCCTCTTTGTGGCATTCTTAAGAACCGTGCTCTTCTGTCCATGAGCTCTTTCAATTCCTTCAAGCAGTTTTTTCACTTTTGTTTCTCGACCCTCCCTCCCCCAAACTGGAAACATCTTCCCCACTCTGGAAGAAAAGGTGTAAAGTCTTCTCACAGTTTCACAACTTATTGAAAAATGTGCATTACATTGGCAAATGGCAATTGCAAGCAAGCTATATACTTTAGCAGGATGGTTGCAGATTTATATATGCATGCTACCTACTTAAAACCATAAAAAACAGATAGTCATTTTTATGATATATCTCACATTCTGGTTAAAAAGGATTACTTTTAGTATGCTATCTATCAAATTATTGTCCTTAGTATGACGTCAGTAAGCCATGAAAATAGAAACATGCTATTATAAATTAGCTTAGTTAAAAGGAATTGTAAACATGGTAGGCAAGAAAAGAAGAATATAAAAAAATTAATTGATTAATCATAAGGGCTTCAGTTGATTATATTTGCATGTGACTAAGAGCACAGGCCTCCTTGGGCGTTCTCTCCACTGCCATGAACGCAAGGCCATTGTTCTTGCCAAGGTCATGTCTCCCTTGCATATGCTTTTTAAGTTTTCATATTAAAATAGTGTTGTTGTTTTTTAAAATCAGCCCTACTTAACTGAGGGCACCATTTTTAAAAGGTTTTACATATCATCTAACTAATTAATGGGCTCAATGGGGTATCCATCCATCAGATGTGGTCTTTACCTGCCATACTGATACCCTTGCTATACCAGAATAGCCAAAGGTGATATCTGTTTCTTTTACATCAGATCATTTTCATAGCTAGATCTGTCTATCATCTGTAAATCTCTCTATCTCTCTATCATCATCTGTCTATCTCTCTATATCTGCCTGCCTGCCTATCTATCTATATCATCTATCTTATTATCAATCTATCTCCATATCTTTTTGATGGTTTTTCTTACTTTTGGATGACAGATTCTGGTGGCCCCTTAATAACTACCTTTGAATTTCTGTTTCAAAAATGGTTTTCTGTGTGTACCATATTTATAAATATATTGGCCATTTGAAATACAGGTCCCAAATCCCTTTGTATTATTTGTGTGTATTGTTACCTTTTTCTTTGTATTCAACCATAGGATGTCAAAAAGAAGCCTATTAATGCTCCTCTTGAACACTCTGGTGCCATTATTACAATCATAGATTTGATACTAGATTTCTACCACAGGTTGGGTTCTCTGATTCTTTTTCCATAATTCTTACAAACGTAGGGAAACAAAACAAAACAAAAATAGAAAGGTTTTTATATTAGAGTACAAATTTCATTCTCATGTAGAGGCACACCCTCCCCCCAAATGACGGAAGAATAACTAATTTTCACCCTGTAGTATTTTCCTAAGAGAGATATTTTACCTCACCTTTATCTTACCATCTGCAGTGATATCTGTAACGGTAACAAATAAAGTTGTTCCTATTGTTTTAAAAGTGAATTTCCATCAATTGAACTGAAACTTGCATGAGAAAGTATTTGTGGTGGGTATTTTATGGGATGGAAATACCACTGCCTTTGATCAGGCTGCCTTCTACTGTTTTGAAAAATTAGGACTTTCTTTGAAGTTGTTACACCAGAGGATTTATATGGATTTCAGAGTTGCGCTGCCCTTTTTTCAACAGCTCAGATTTAAGCTCTCTGATACCACTGGAAAATCTGGATAAAAGAAAAGAGGTTACTTTCAAGTTGGCTTTTCCAGAGTAGCCCTACACAAACGGTAGAGTGATGCTTTTGTATGTTTGAATATTGCTTCCTGGAGATTGTGCTAGTAAAGGTAGCTTTACAATCCAGTCATAGTATGGTCTTAAATAGAGAATGAAAAAGTAGGAAAAATCTCAATCAATGATGAGTCCATATTAGGAAAGCAATATGCTATGTTATTGAATCAATAATGTCCACAGCTATCTTCTAAGGTCTTATCTTCAGCCATTCTTATTAATGCAGAAATATAATAGTTAACTTAGGTTGATGTCTTTGCTTGGAGTTTTGTTCCCTCTTGTTAAACAAGTCTTGATGTGATTCGGTGTCCACTGTTTTCATAGTCCTTCTGATACTCTTCATGAGCTTTCTGTAGTCTTTTGCTCCTCAGCTTCCATTTATGAAAGCAGTAGGTGGCCAGGGACATAGAGACCAGGCAGAAGAGGAGGATCAGCACCACAAGCAATGCCACGGCTGACGAAAGAGATTCCTCTGTCTTTTGGGCTTCCGCTTCTTGCGTGGCATTCAAAAAGGTCTCACGCACCTTGGCTGTTAGAAAACTGGGAACCGAAGTGTCTCTAAACTTGGCCCTCATTGGAATGTTTAGGATGGCTAACGTTTTAGGCAGAGACGTTTTCAAAGGAAGTGTGAAGAGAACACAGCTTGCTTCTAGTTGTGTCCATGAAGTTATATGGTCCACATGATACGTTTAACAGCTGGCAGTGAAAGGCATATCTTTTCAGGCTCTTTGCTCTGAACATCAATGGAAGACTGATGATCACTTTATTTATGAGTTTGTTTCACTCTGAGTTTCGTAATCAATCCTCATTCCAGAAGCTATTGCAAAGACCCCTTTTTGAGGTCCATTCAAAAATGGCTGATGCAATGAAATCCAAAAATGTTGTTTTCATTCCTAGCTTAGGCTGGTGTGTGCTGTATTCCCTTGCTTCTGCTTTTCTCTTCTAAATGGTAACCACTTTTTCACCCCAAGTCTCACAATGTGAAGAGTAAGAATTATCCAGATAGTTTGTGACTCTGGAAAAGTGATCTGGATAAAACAACAAAAACATCAAACAGGTTAGTTTATGATACAGAGCAAAGTGGCTACTTATCTGCTTAATTTAGTCTATACATTTAGTCTATACATTTCAATTAGAAAGAGATTGGAAGGTTTCCTCTGAATATAAACTTCAATCCATGAAATGAACATGTCATTCCTTAAAATTACTTGCTAGGGGAAAGTTTCAGTTGGCTGGGCTGGGCTTTAAGTTTATAAATCCAGAATCGACTTCGGAAGCACAAAGATTTAGATGTCAAAAACAAGGAACGGCCTGCAGCAACTTTGCATCAATTAAATCAATTTCCTGGAGGGGAAACAGGTCGTTCAGAAATGTGAAATGAATGAATGAATTAATCCAAATAAAAAAGAGGGAAATAAAAGGGGGATATTTATTTAATACCCACTCACTGACTTTTTTTTCCTGCTGCTGTTATATTTGAGGACTCCCTGGTGCTCTGAGCTTGGTTGTTTCCTTGCAGATCTTATATTACCAAACTAGGTAACATCACCAGCGCTAGGATTGACTAGCTGACTAGCACTGATGTTACCTAGTTTGGGTAATGAAATATCTGCAAGAAAAGAAACCAAGCTGAGAGAGCACCAAAGACACCTTGTTTCAACTCTGAGCTACAAATTCTCCTTTATTGATATTGTTGCATTGTTCCCAGGGTTATTATTTCCAAGGAGATTCTCTTCAAACTTGTAGGCATGAGTGGCTAATAGAAAGACATCATGACATGATGTTTGTTATGACATCATCTCCTACTGCTTAGTCCTCCTTCTAGGACACCTATCCTGGAGCTTGATTCACACAAGAGTGCTGTGCTTGGTTTTAACTGAGCATTTACTTACTTACTTACTTACTTACTTACTTACTTACTTACTTACTAGATTTGTATTGCCACCTATTCGCCATGGTGACTCAAGGCAGCTTACAACATATAAAATCACAATTTAAAAGCAATAAAACTCATAAAATCAAATAAATTAATATAGTAAAATCCCCCCCCCCCCAGTGACAGCAGATTACACAAACCATTTAATGGACTCCACCCCACTCTGGGTTCCCCAGGCCCGCTGGCAGAACCAGGTCCTCAAGCATGATGTTTGAACTGACCTAATATAGCCATATATACCATTATGCTTGGTTC